GAGAAAGCCCCTCCTCTCCTCCTCCAGATGGGATGTACGACATAATTTCTGCCTAGGTCGGAAACCAGGAAACAACTGTAGTTCTACCCCTTTGAGAACCCCTGGTGTTGGGTCCCCCTTATCCCTGCACAGTCAGGGAAGACACATTTTCCAACTATCTTTTGGAATCAGAAACCAGTCCATGGGCTTGTTTTTTTTTTATTTAGGAGAAAACAATTTGGATAGGGTCTAGGGGTATATAGGATGCCCAACTTGGCTTGAAACAATAACTCTGAGGACAATTTCCTAAATTCTGTACAAATAAAGGATGGATCCTGGACCTTCAACTTTCTAGCAGACTCTTGACGGATACGCAATTCAGTCTCTGTAAGGAGCACTTGGTCCTCTCTTTATATGAACCTCTTCAGACCCCAGCTAGAAACTGCCCATCCACTTGTCTTGAAGAGTATCCAAGAGCAAGAGATTCTAGAACAGACTTGCAACACTGTCCCATGGAGAACTGATTGAGTGTGGCACCTAGCAGCCCTCTCCCTTGTAGGCCCTGGGGATGTAGATGTAGTACTTACACTATCCTTGTGTCCTGTAGCTTTGGGCAAACTGCTTTCAGGCCTTTTGCTGAGTTAGTTTCTTTCCAGGCTAGCAGGCTGTCCTTCCTCAAAGGACTGCAGGGCAGTAGAGCACCCTCTGTCAACTTCGTTCTCCCATTCTTCCAACCTCCAGCCTAGAGGCAGAACCCCCTACACAGAAGCACACCTCAGCACTCCATCTTCCACCGACTCCCCTGCTGGCCAGGCTCTCTCTCATATTTATCGGCTGATTAGGCCATCTTGTCGGGCCTCCTGCCCAGGCATTGGCCATGTTCCCATAAATATGCAGATCAGCACCTTCTGACCTCCACCCACTAGCTTATAGAAACTTTTCCAAGCTTCTAGGGCCAGGGGAGGTACCAGAAGCCTGACCTGTGGAGCCCTCCAGCTTGACATAAAGTAAACCCACTAACCCACACCCAGGCTTCTAACAAGCCTCTAACTACACTACAAACTATGTACACCAGAGGCTGCTACACAACTAAAGTAATGTAAAAAGGAAATATAATTCACAATCTAGTATATTTACTAAGGCTACTAGAATAAGGATTAAGAATAGTTAAATGTTGAGTGAGAGAGTTTCTAAAATAAAGTTCCACTTTAGTGTTTATATTCCAAAGCAGGATCACATGGGAAGGTTCTTCCCACTCAAGAAATCACTTGCCATATCTTCAGGACAGTTGTCATCTCCAGAAATCCACATTTTCAGGATTACCTTTTAGGAGGGCAATCTTTGCATCCATTCTATCCCTAGGTCCAAGGCCTGCAAGAGAGACAGATCTCTTTATGACGATATCCTCACAAGGCAAAAGGCCATGAGGGAAGAAAGAGACATTCAAGAGTTCTCCCAGCATACATCACCATGTTCCAAAGGCCTTCTTATTGGATCCATTCAGAGAACACTTTGTTTTTGTTGCGGTGCTCCAGAACCATCTTGGTGTAGTGGATACACTGTAGCCAGTCTGAGCCTCAATGAACTGCTGCCAGTTCACTTGTTGTGGGAGCCATGATGGATGTGATCTTTCTGATAAGGATAACTTGTTTAAGGAAAGCTTTTTATTCATTTGTATAATGTGAGTGCATATTATGCATCGGTTTTAATTAATTAAAGAGTTGTTTGCAGTATTACACTATTAGTGTCTCTATTATCTCTTTGCATTTCATCTACCTTCTGGGTGGTCATTTGGAGCTTGTCAAGCAGGAACTCTCTCTCCTTGAATGGGATTCTATTTGGAGGATATATCCTACCTAAAAGCGTGTTTGACTCTTAAGCCCTATCAGTTTAAGAGCCCATTTTATTTGGTGAGTGTAGATTATATTGAAAGTCACGAATGGTGTGGGCACGTTGGAGTTCCTTTAGCACTGTTTTTGTTGATTGGAGCACTTTATATTTTATTTTTCACTATTGATTTGGGACTTTGGACATTTTTTATATCTGGACATTTCTTATATTTTTATATTTTCATATATGTTTATGTTTATGTTTTTTTTTTATTAATTTTTGCGCTGTGGTTTTAGTTTACATATTTCAATGAATGCCAAGCTTTCTTTGATTGGATGAAGTCGAGATGAGGGGTGTTATGTCATGATCTGCACCTCGTCCAGTCAGAGGATGCTTTGCATTCATTGAGATTCACTCATGGAAGATGTTCTCTGAATTGCGTCTATGCCAACCCTCTGTGTTCAATAAGCAGCAGGAAAGCCATTCAGCATTGAACCTAGAAGCCAGTGGAAATCACCAAAGTAGTGGTGCCTACTACAGAGATTTCCAGCTTCTGTAGGAATTGGCCAGACACATACTTACATTGAAAAAAGTATGCATTGCAAAGGCACTTACAGAATATTCGGCTTTACAGTTAATAAGATTCTTAAGATTGATTATCCAAACTTATAACTTTCTTCCCTGAGAGGGCAGCGCCAAGGATGCACGACAATCATGGAAAAAAATGAACTTACTAAAATATATATTTTTCATACAAATGTGCATGTTCTGCCTAAAAATTGTAATGTTACTTTAAAAACTGCAGAGTTTACTTCATTCTAATCCTTGTTTTCTGAAATATTTCTTCTCTAGCAGTTTATTCTCGGTTTCCTGGTTAATGTACGTCAGTCTCTGGACAACAAATAGCGATAACAGCAACAAAGCACCGCAGGGGATTTATGTGGAACATTCCTGTTAGCTGGTAATGTGATTTGTGACCATGAATCGAGCAAAGTCTTACAGAGTTTACCCCCTAGCTTGTCTTGTAAAAAACTGTCTAAAGTCAAAATGACACATTTGCAAATTCATAGAGAGGCAGAATACTTGTAGCCAATTTTGTTTGCCCTCCAACTATACAATCTTTTTCCTATTTTAAACTGTCCTTCAAAAGATTGATGATCACCATATTCCTCAGGGACCTTCTTAAAATACCTTGATTAACCTTCAACACAGCCCACAAGTAAATAAAGTTTCTTGTATGGGGCTTAGCTCAGTTTAAGGCAAAAAATTACCACAGAGGAAAAAAACTTTTGTAATAGTTTCAGAAATGTTTGAGGTTTCTGCAACTAATTTATATGTGCTAGTACCATGGGGCTGGTAGTATATGGGCCTGGTATTATATAGACCATGTCACGCTTGCGACCTGAAACTATCCAAGACAAGATTGTGGCTATGCCTCTTTCTGGGGGGTGGTCCTGGTTTTGATGTATCTAGTGGATTTATCACTGGTGGACCCAGTTGCTTTGCAATGTCTGTGGATTATTTTGTGGCCATTGTTTCATATGTATATGTGCTATTGCTTATTCAGTTTTATTTCTTGCTAATGTCTTCTACAATATGTGATATTAGTATTTTTATGGTTTTGGACCCCTTCTTTGTAGTCGGTGTACCTCCTGGCCTCCCTGGTGGTGGCCCCTATGGGTGGTCGGGTGTGTGGCCGCTAGGCCGCGGATGATCTGCAGGCTGGCTATCCCACCCCTCCGTGGCCATTTTCTGGCTCTCGGGGGCCATGGCAGGTTGTCCAGGCTGGGTCTCGCACGGCTTGGGTATTGGTGGGCCCTTTGGATCCACCCCCTTGTCTGCGTGTGTGCAGGTGTTCCTGCATTGGCGGTGTGGTGTCATACTCAGTGGTTCCGGCATGGCGCTCTGCATGTGCATGGGGGCATCGCACATGCGTGGACGCACCGACCAGGCCAGGATGACATCATATGGCGGCTGGTGTTGGCGTGCCCAGTCAGGGCATATTTAGGCGGCATGAGTCGGCAGACAACCTTTTGGGACTCCTACAACAGTGATGAGGGCCACCTGTGGCTTCTCCAGACTGTGCGCTTTCTCTCTCTATATTGAACTGTTGCGTAGTTGCAAGGATGATAATTGGTCCCCATGTCCTATAGTAGAGTTAATCTTTTTTTGGAGAAGTTGAGGGACTTACAGCTTTCTGCTTTACTGCAGATGTATGTGCCCCTCAGGTCTATACAGTGGACATGTTGTTTCATTCATAGAGGTAACTCTTCTTTGAGTGTTTTGGTTTATCATGTAATACTAGATGGGTTGCCCATTTAAGACATCACTAATTTAAATTCTACATTATGGTCTTTTTTAGGCCTATTCTGTTTTATACTCCTAATCCCTAGTAGTTGGATTATTATGTTGACGTTGTTGACCATCAACCTGTGCCTCTGATTTTTGTTTTTCATCTGCTGAATGCATGTGTGTTCTCTGTCTGCCCACTGCCAAATTGATGCGCCCCCACACCTGAAAGTGGGGTCTTTCATTCTGTGGTTGAAAGGGGGACCTGGTTTCCTGCATTGAGGAGTTCCTCACTATACAATACACACTGTTTAACTATGTAAGTGCCTGATAGGTGGTACCTATGCTGTATTTTTTGTTTAATTTATATATGATTACTGTTTAATTCTGTTCATCTTTTAGATGTGTTGCAAGTCCCTGAAGAAGCAACTTCAGTCGTGAAACATGTTGGGCATTTTCTACACGGCTTGGATATTCCCAATCCTCTGAAAGAAGTATACTGTGTATACCATCTCCACCTAACTTCCTTTGGAATTAGTCTGTAAATTTTGGTTGGTGGGCAGAGACATGCTGTGTTCCTATTGTTCAATGCAATTTTAAATATAGGCAAGATACGTTTTAGATGTGATATGTTAAAAAACAACATTGTTTTTATTATTTGAGTACTGAGTTTATGTGCCTAAAAAGTCCATTAGCTATTTTCTTTGCCTCAAATATACTTTAATTGGGACGTGGAACTATGACATTTTCCTGGGTGTGACCTCCTACCACCCGATGGTTGCCCCATTTTCTTTTTTTTAACTATAAGATTGTCTGGAGAGCTAATGAACCATCCACCTTCTACAATGTCATCCCTTCCCTGGTCAGACCAGCAAGGTGTATCTCTGTTGCTGCTTTTAAAGAGTGTTGGTCAGTAAGGCAATGACTCCAAAGCAGGGGCGGACTGACAACTTATGGGGCCCCCGGGCAATAGGGGATCATGGGGCCCCTGTGTCCTTGCCCAAACTCAAAAAAGCCTCTGAAAAAGGTACCAGGGGCATCTCATGGGGCCCCCTACTGACCCCGGGCCCTCGGGCAGTGCCCGAGTTTCCAAATGATCAGTTTGCCCCTGCTCCAAAGATGTAGGTGAGGTGTTCAATTTTAATAAACTAACTACTAATCTGACCTGGGTCTAAAGAAAGAGAGATAACAGAAGAGAAAATGAGCAGAGGAGAGAGAGAAAGAGAGAGAAAAAAATAGCTGAAAGTGAAAGAAGGGGTGAAAGATAGAAGTGAAAAAAGAGAGAGTGAACAAGAAAAGGAGAGAGAGAGAGAGAGAGAGAGAGAGAGAGAGAGAGAGAGAAAAGAGGTGGGGAGAGAAAAAAAGAGAAGAGAGAGGAAGAAGAGGTGAGAGAGAGAGAGAAGGAGAGGTGAGAGAGAGAAGAAGAGGTGTGTGAGAGAGAGAGAGCAGAAGAAGAGGAAGAGAGAGTAAGAAAGAAGAGGAGAGAGAGAAAGAGAAATGAGAGAGAGAGAGAGAGAAGATAAATAAGAGAGAGGAAGAAGAGGTATGTGAGAGAGAGTGAGAGAAGAGGTGAGAGAGAAAAAGAGAGAAAGAAAGAGGTGAGGGAGAGAGAGAGAATGGTAGAAGAGGGGGGAGAGAGTGAGAAAGAAGAGGAGAGCAAGGGAGTGAGAGAGAGAGTGGGAGAGGAGGAAAGAAAGAGAGGGAGAGGGGAAAAAGACAAAGAAAGTGAAAGATATATTTTATGTTTACCTTTTATAATCATGTTTATCTTTTATAAAGCAGTGATCAGTTCACTTACCATCAATTAATGATGAATACATATAAAGCCCACTCTGTCATAAATGTTAGTACCGTTCAGTGCATCATCCAGCCGCACCAGCTGTCAGAGAGTTTAACAGACTGCTAGCAGTGGAGCTGGACAATCCTCCTGTGCCTTTGGCCCACACCAGGGTTTAATTCCCAGTGTGCATAGAACCATAAAGTATAACTAAAAGCAAAACTTTTTTTTTATTTTTATTTAGATATAGATGGGCAAGGAGGTCTGATTTGTATTGCTGTCTGTGTAAGTTAAGGACATTCACTCTCCCTATTGTCCAGATTACCAACTTCACTGGGAATGAAGGTGAGGGGAACTCCAAAATTTTGAGTTACCACCAAAACAGGAATAGAGGGACCATTGATTACTTGATGATTGTCTAAAACAAAATTTCTCCGGCTTACCTTTGAGTTTGTTCTTCAGGACAGGACAACACAAAATCTCCCTAATGAGACACAGGCAAAATGGAAAAAAGAAACTAACAGTGGTTTTAGTTTTCCTCTACTTTATTCAAAATTTAAAAAAGATGTATGTAATGTGTATTTTTTTTCTTTTAAAGTTGTATCTTGTCCATTAATACAGGGATGAGCTTGGGTTCATCAGTGAAGTCAGGCCATTCCTCGCCCCACAGCCACATGTACACGAAGGAACAGGAATGCTTCTGACATCATTGACCTAATGTGACTATATGGCCAAATTAGATCAACAAGAAGAATTTAGAAATGTAACATAGGGGGTGGGAGGTGGGTTAATTTGATCCCAGAATTGGACTTTAACACACCTTTTATGCAGGCTGAATTGGTGCAATCTCTTTCTGATTACAGATGCATGCACTTGGACCCCAACTGTTGCATGAGTTTCCTGAACACCCGAAAAATTTATTTTTTTTAGCATCAGAAGGTCAGACTTGGGTTGAATTTGCTGGACCTGCTAGAACTAAACATATTGGCAGTTGTTTAAAATCTACACCTTTTATAAGTTATTTTCTGTTACATACGATTGATTTCAAATCAATTGTTTGGTTTTTTTTTAATCTCTTGCCAGACTCATAGGCATTCACAACTTTCTTTCTGAGGGCTCTATTGGCATACTCCCTAAGGATGTTCTAATCATTGGCATTTAATCTGAAATAATGGGTCCAAAAGGAGTTGGAAGTGGTGGTAAACTTAGAGTGCACTCACTTTTTTCATATGACAAATCAGCATTTTCAATCATGAACATTAATGTACCATGTCAATTTTATGTGTCATTTGTTCCAAATATATCACCTTTCTCTGTAGGCGCTATCTGAATTGAATTGATGTGTGTGTGTGTGTGTGTGTGTGTGTGTGTGTGTGTGTGTGTGTGTGTGTGTGTTAGAATACATATATAAAACTTTAAGAGTTAGTGGGTAGGATTTTTTTCCTGGCCATTTTCAACAGACCCACCCCATGCATTCCATCATCCCCAAATTATTACATACCACTGCTTGTCTGCCAAAAGCCCAGAAAGATGACCCCCCCCCCCCCCCTTTGTCCTCTCTAAAAGGTAAGACAGGCCAGAGGTTGCACACTCAGTGGGTGCTTTGGCTCATTTAAATTGGGTGCATGTTGGAATGCATGAGGAGTTTTGCTGAAAACAGGAAAGGTGACATAAACCTTTAAAAAGTAAATTAACTCTTTAAAATAATTATAAATATTCTATAATATCATATAGAATTGACCTTATTGCCTGACCAATGTGTATGACCAGTATTACATGTGCCAGGACTGGGAACAAACTTCTGAAAGTATCATTCTGGCTACTTCCAGATGAGAAAATCAAGGTTATTTTTGACAAAAAGGTCAGGATGACGTCCAAGGAGGCACTGGAGGATGGCAACTGGACTCCTCACCACCAGCGAAGCACCATTGTTCTAAATGGATTAATATAAAATCATGAAGGTCATTTCACAGCACCCTATAAAACACCAGTGGAAAATAATGGTGAGGATTTTAAAAGAAGCAAAATAATGTTGATTACAGTAATGAGGAGAGAGGCCACTAACAAATCAATCACAGCTGGTAAGCACTAAGCCTATTGATTGCACAGAATCCAAGCTGTTCTAGAAGAAATAGAGCTATTGAACAGAGCGATAACACTACAGGGATTTGACAGTGTTTGTATACATTACATTCTCAGCTACTCCAGTGTATGTTGACTGCACATTGACCCATACATGATCACCAGTGTGTGTAATAAGCCGTGCAATGTTTTATTGATTTGCTAATAGAATCTGTTGCTATTTATCTGTTTAACAGAATCCTAGCAAAGGCTGCATTTGCTGGACATATAAAATAGGGAAAAATGTAATATTTAATCAGACTGATGTTCATAAAATATACCAAACTCTAGATTTCAGTTTTGATTTTAACCAATATTAAAGTTAGATGGACAATGACAATGGGACACGTGGCTTTACATTTTAAGAGTGAGCAATAATGAACATTAGAATTGACCCTTCCCTAAAACTAGAATGGTACATCACCTTGCTTCAGTAAAAAACTTCACATGGGTTTTGATTCTGTATTATTTTTTTTAATAAACAGGTCTTGCAGTACTCTGGTTCCGGATTAAATTACCCAAAGGAGCAGCAGTTGTACAGTGCAGCTAAAGTAAGCAACAATTTCAAGGAGTAAAATAACACTCTACCAATGGTGCTTAAAATGCTCTGCTTTGGCCTGAGCCTTAAGTCACATGGCCCAATGCTAGCCTCAGGTTGCGTGGCCTAAAACTGGAGCATAGCATTATCTGGATATTACAGCAGACCTTGTTGAATATGTGTAACAAAACAACCTGCCAGGATGGAAATATGGGCGCTAATATTGTCAACAGAGCTCACATGCACTGTCATCCTTATTCTTCACTACTTAGCAGTAATTGAGTCAAAAAAAGCAAGAGGTGTGTTTTTTATAGAGATGGATTAGCTACCAGGTGACCTTGGCAGGAACCTAAGGTCTCTTAGGTGTAGGGAGATCCAAATCCTGATCCAGTGCTCCTGATACACAGAGAAGGACCTCTTTGTCAATTGATAGTTTATCTCTGTGGATTACACAAGAATAACAGCTCATCTGCAGCTCATCTTTCAGATTGACAGCCAGGTTCCATTTTCCGAATGATACAACTGGTAAAAAAAACCCAGCACAGCCCTAGGTAAAATGTTTATATACTTTTCAGAATAAAAAAAGCAGCACATTTGAAGAGAATGCTTTTTGTTGCTGAGAAATATACAAGGTTAATTCACTCAGTAGCAGGAGATTATATTATGAGTGTAGCTTTAGACCACATATTGAAAGCCAAAATGCAGCTAACACTGGTTCCATTTTGAATTGAGTGGGGAAGAACTAGAACTACCTTTAGGTTTTCAATGTAGTCTGTTCCCCAATTGGGAAGATCTTCCCTAACTTCTTATTAAGAAGTCTCCTCTCATGGGAGGCCTCTAAAGATGCTGGCTTACTGAAAGAAAAACGTTTGCCCTGTAGAAGTACCTTTGTCTGTCCCCCACTGGAAGGATGTGGTGAGTGACTGGATGAGGAAGAAGCTTACAGAAGAACCTTTTTAGATTTCCTGCCTTTAGAAGGCTATAATATTTAGACAACCCTTAAACCTTGATCTCTACGAGACAGAAGTCCTAAAGGCAACCAACTAACATAGTCTGTGGGACCAGACAGAGTAAAGCTGGCTAAAAATGATTTGCTTTTTTTGTTCAACCTGGGGGCTGAATGTAAACAAAAAATTAACAGATTCCTCCCTCCACACAAGCAAGGTCGTTAGAGGAATCCCCCCCTGTCAGAATACACTAATCATTGGCTGCAGCTGCTGATTGACAAGTTTTCCCAACATTCCTATTTGACAGAAATCAATCAACTTCTGTCAAACAGGAATGGCTACACAAGAATTCTTGCTGAACTGGCCAAATTTTGACCCATCTATGACCAGGCTTTTGAAGGTTAGATCTTAGATTGGTAATTTATAGCTTTTGCATTTGTAGGAATCCTGATTTTTTTTCCCTCACTACCCTTCTCATACTTTGCCTTTTGAAAAACCGGTTGGAATTCATTATATCAAAGTGACTGGTGCCCATCTTTTGTTCACCAACCTGGAGAAGA